AAAAATATCCCCAAAGTTAGTTATAGCAACAAAATATTTTATGTTAACCCAGTTTACATGCATCAATATACCTACAAGTCTGTTAATTTACTTTTTGAACCTTCTAATACAAGGAGCTTCCGGTAGTGTAGAGGTTACGAAGCCGGCTGCAAATCTTAAGGTCAGCAATTCAAAACTACCAGCTGTTCCTCAGGCAAAAGATGAGGCTTTCTACTCCCGTAAAGATTTACAGCCTTGGAAACCCTGTACAGGGTCGCTATGAGTCAGAACTGACTCCACAGCACATCATAAGGACAATCACAAATACACTCTGGTGCAGTCCTGGTGTGGTGCTATAGATTAAGCACTGGACTGCTAACTCAAACACTGGATGCTCCTCAGAAACTGCTAACCCACTAGATACTCCTCAGGAACCCTACACAGGGCCTCTATGACTCAGAACTGACTCGATGGCATTTAAGAACAATAACAATGAACTCCAGAATCCTGGTGTGGCACTTCAGAATAAGCATTGGACTTCTAACCACAAAGTGGGCAGTTTAAACCCACTAGTCCCTCCTTGGAAACCCTATACTGGGCTACTATGAGTTCTGATGGTGCTTGATAACAACAATGACAATGCACTCTGATAAGAACTGTCATTATTACCCAATTACAATGAGACTTTGAATCAGATGGTTTTGTCTGCACATACTACAAGTATGCACTGCTGTTTTCATTGTTAGCAGTGTTTTTATAACATTTTTCAAATATTCTGGTGCTTTAGTTACAAAATTGTGGTAAGTAGTATTTGTGAACCTCTATCAATAACCTTTTTGAGAATGAAGTAGTAATTAAAGAAAAAACTGAGAACAACAAAAACAGGCTTCTGCTCTGTTACTAATTGCATCTAACTTTAATAATGTTGTGATTCATTTAAAAAAGATTTCCCAAAACTATTTTGCTGTTAAGTGTCATGCAGTTGGTTTTCACTGATAGCAATACAACCTTGCTTGCTGAAAGTGAAGCGAATTTAAAATATTTACTGATGAAGATCAAAGAGTACAGCCTCTCTTTTGGATTGCATCTCAATGTCCAGAAAACAAAAATCCTCACCACTGGACCAATAAACAACATTCTTTTCAATGGAGAAAAGATTGAAGTTGTCAAGGACTTCATTCTTCTTGGATCTACTATCAACACTCATGAAAGCAGCAATCAAGAAATCAAACAACGTATTACATTAGGCAAATTTTCTGCACAAGACTGTTTTAAAGTGTTGAAGAGCAAAGATGTCAGCTTGAAGACCAAGGTGTGCCTGACCCAAGCCATTTTCAATAACTTCATATGCATGTGAAAGCTGGACATTGAATAAGGAAGACTGTAGAAGAATTGATACTTTTTAGCTATGGTGTGGAAGGAGAATATTGAAAGTGCCATAGGCTGCCAAAAAAACCAACAGACCTGTGTTGGAAAAAGTGCAGCCAGAGTGCTCCTTGGAGGCCAAGATGGCCAAACTTTGTCTCTCATACTTTGGACATATTGTCAGGAGGGAATAGTTGCTGGAGAAGGATATTATGTTTGGTAAGGTGGAGGATCAGAGTAAAAGAGGACGACCCCCAGTGAGATGGATTGGCAAGGTGGCAGCATCAATAGTCTCAAGCGTGGCAACAATAGTGAGGTTGGCACAGGATCGGGCAGTATTTCGTTCTGCTGTGCATAAGGTCACTATGAGTCGGTACCGACTTGATGGCACCTAACAACAACAACAACAAAGGGTTTCTGAGGAGCAGATGGTAGGTATGAACCACCAATCTTGGGCCTAGAAGTTCAATTCTTATCTTAGAGCATCACACTAGGACTCAGAATTTTGTTACTTGTTGTTGTTGTTAAGTGCCGTTGAGTTGGTTCTGACCAACAGTGACCCTGTATAGGGTTTCTGAGGAGCAGCTGGTGAACTTGAACCACCGACTTTACAGTTCAAACCACATTTGCAGTCCAGCGCATTATCACATGGTGCCATACTAGGACTCCTTTGTTACTAGTATTAATATATTAGTTTAATAGAATCTGAGAAATATTATATTTGCTAAATTACAACTATAGTCATCATATATTATTCTATGATTAAAATGAATAATAAACATCATTAAGGATTTTATGGGGTCTGGTACTGGAGGAGGTCCATGGCGAGGGGTATAGTACTATGAGTTGCCACATTACATGACACCAAGTTGAATGACACCATTGATGAATTCAAGAGGTGAAGAATATGGACAATGTATGAAAGGAATAAATTGAGTCTGAATGGAAACTTTTTAGGTTCTACAGACCTATTGAATCTACACCAGACTTTGGTAATGGCTAGAGTGTTAATAAAATGTATGTCGTTCCATTTTTACCTCAGCAGCCCTGCCAGAAGTTATCACTGCATCAAACACATGCTTGAGAGAACAGTATAAGCGAGAACACAGAATGAACGATGACAGTTATTTGATGTTTCGGCACTGCTCTTCGTGTGTGGTCAAAATTCCATTGAGCTGAATGGCAAGACCCATCAATTATCCTTTAAGACTGAATTTATTTATTTGAAAGGTACAAATGATCTGCAAACCCTCTAAAAATGATGTCTGTTTGGCTGTAGATTTTTACTTCCCTCTGAAAGAGGGTACACAAATTTCATGAGAAACTCAAAGAGGTTTGAGATTTTGCAATTTGTGCCCCTATCCTTCATCCCCAACACATACACATCTCAAAGAGATTAAGAACTCTGGTCAAAAGGAAGTACTTGTTCAGCTCAGATGTGGCTTTCCCCAGTTCACTCTGAAGTTCTGTGTCCAGGAGCAAAGAAGTCGAGGCGTGACTGCTGCTGCTTCACTATCCAATGTCCCTTGGGCCTCAATTTGCCTCACTTTCTGGGGAATCAGAATTCTATTTTACATGCCTCCCAGAACCATAATATACTTTGAGTGAGTTCCAGATGTCTTAAGAGATGCCAGATGGCACACAAAAGGCAGACCAGCTTCAAGGAAAATGTGTCCCATTTCCTTGGATATGACCACAAAGCTAAGCTTTCAGGGCCAGCTGTTGGGGGAAGACTCTTCAAGGCCTGCTCAGATAATCAGCGTTGGTATAGCCATTGTTGGACTGATTGGAAAAGGTTCTTAACTCCATTGACTGTTTGGAAGGAAAAATCTCACCAAACACTTTTTTTTTTAAAAATAAAGGAATGATAGTAATATTTACTGTTGTTGTTAAGTGCCATCGAGTCAGTTCTGACCCATAGCGACCCTGTACAGGATTTCCGAGGGTGTAAATCTTTACGGGAGTAGAAAGCCTCATCTTTCTCCCGCAGAGTGGCTGGTAGTTTCGAACCGCTGACCTTAAGGTTCGCAGCCTGATTCGTAACCACTACGCTACCAGAGCTAAGTGCCTTATATATCAGATACAAAAATCATAGGAGGTAGATATTTGTAAACCAGCTTCTCCAGATGACAGATCTGAAACTCAAGAGTTTAAGTAAAAGCAATTTAATTTCAAGTCATTTATATAGCATTCCACAAATATCAACTAAGAACATCCAAGTTTCACAAACGGTATTATGTGGTTTCCAATCTAACAAAGAATTGCTGTTTCTTGGTCTGATTCTAACATATAGCCCAAAGACCATGATAAAAACCACTTATGATTAGACTTTCCTGTAGTCTCTTTCTAGTGAAACCCTCTTGCTAATGAAACATGATTAGATGTGTAATACACATACACACACAAACACAAATATTAACATAAACTATGACTTTGCACTGTGGCATCATAACTGAGAAATCTGCTTTTGTCTTAGAATAATAGCCCACTTCCAGCTACCCTTGCTTGCACAGAAACACATCATTTGTTCTTCTAAATTCTCTGACCTCAAGTCTAATCCTGTCTACCTAAATAAAAGGTGGTTTCTAACTTTCCCTTTAGAACATTTATTTATTTACTTTTTGGCTTAAAATTGTCATTCCTTTTTACTCTGTTAGAATTCTAACTCTTCTAAACTGGATTGAATAGGATCTTCTCGATATCTTCTTCCTAAGTGAAGTTCTATATCTGACGCTCAAAGTTCAGTACTTTTCTGTGTTTTGAATCCTGCTTTTGTCATTTTGTAGCACTGGTCCTTGAATGATCAATTTGAGCTATCTGAGACTCAGTTTTATTTTATTTTTTTCATTTGTTAAATGGAATAATAATGTCTACCTCATTTTTATAGTACTTGTAAGTATTAACTTTGCAAGAATTAAATGAAATAATTAAAGCATAGTATTTAGCATAGCACTTGGCACATTGGAAGAATCCAATAAAGGAAGATGACTGCAAAATACTGTTAATGAAGTTGTGGTAAAGTGATAATTATTATTTCACCTGTACCCAAAAAGTCTCATGGCTGGGGTGTGTTTGGCTAAAGAAGACATAAATTAATATGGTTCTGGATTATCTTCCATGACACTTATCTGCACTGACACTTTATGCTCTAACAACATGCTACACTCCATTAACAATAAATTAATCAGTCCTTAAAGTGGTCTTTCTAATAAATGGGACATTACATGCTGACTACACTGGAAACTGGGAGAGGGTGTGAAACATGAACATTTGACTTGGGGAAAATGTTTTCTATTGTGATTTGTGCTACTCTCACATCTCTATTGTTAACATAACATATGTTGTTTTTAAATGCTGTTGAGTTGGTTCTGACTAATAGTGACTCTGCATAGGATTTCCAAGGAGTGACTGGTGGGGTTGAATCACCAACCTTGTGATTGGAAGTCCATTGCTTATCCTACTATTCATAGGCCAATTGTGCATTATTTTACACATCCTTTTTTTACTTAATTTTACTTCTCTAGAACACAGAAACCAAATAATTGTAGAATGAATCCATAGGCTGAATACCAATCACAATTGTTTCATTACTATGGGCTCAATGCCCTGGAATATCTTTTCAAAGATGAACAAATCTATAAACTAATTTTGGTTACCTTGGGCAGAGGGAGGCACCCTGAGAATGAGCGGTCTTCTTTTCGAAAACTCAAGTTGAGATTGTCTATGTTGAGTTTGCAGTTGACTGTCTTTAGTGCCATCTTCAAAATCTCTAACAGGCTCTTGTTCACTTTTGAGTGCAAATCAGAGTCTTGAGGTGAAGTGCTGATTGGATAAAGGAGGAGAAAGTCTATGAAAAGATAACCCAAAGAAGCTAGGCATCTTCAGATCATATACTTCATACCTACATGTACCTTGTGACCTGAGAACCCATCTAACGTATGTCTGTAACCGGGTCAAGAGACTGCATTTGGAGATTTCACAGACTAATTTAGAGCAGTTCCATTCTAGTGAGCCTATAGCCACTCTCCAGGAGGCATCAAGCAATTGGTTTTAGACAGATCAGAACTGATTATCCATCTTTCTAGCTCTCTTGTTTTTCAGGTTGAGAGAAAAATTAGAAGTGGTTATAGCAGTTTTACTTATCTGCTTGATTTATTTTTTCATAAACCCAGATAATTTCTGATCCCATTCACTGCCATTGAGCCATTTCCAAGTCACAGTGATCCTAAATGACTGAGTAGAACTGCTTCTTTAGGGTTTCTGAGATGGTAAATCTTTATGGAAGCAGATAGCCTCATCTTTCTCCTACAGGGAAGCTGATGGGTTCTAACCAGACGTTTCGGTTAGTAGCCCAACACTTAACCCACTGTGTCCCAGGGCTCCTTAGATAATTCCTGATAGTGAATCAAATTTCTAAACTCCATTGTCATAAAGCAAAGTAGATCCTGTCAGAGCTCTATAACCAAGGAAGCTCTGTTGGTGGAAGTCTTAAAACAGAAGAACTTCCTCCTCTTTGAATCCAAAAAATCATGTGTTCTGGGAATAACTATTTACTTACTATCTGTCTTGTAGGAACATATAATTATTAAGATCCTTTATAAGATGTTGTTGTTGTTGTTAAGTACCGTCGAGTCAGTTCTGACTCATAGCGACGCTGTACAGGGTTCCTTAGGAGCGAATGGTGAGTTTGAACATGGATGTCTTTAAATAACAGTGAAAGACAACAGGATGACAAGTGTTATTATCATTTATCTTACCAACTACCATGAGATATTTAGTCATTTAACATTCAAATGTATTTTTCCCTCCAGAGTCTACTGAAATATCATCTCCTTAGTGAAGCTTTTTCTAATTTCTGCTGTTTCAGTTTAATGCAACCTCTCCAGAGGGACCTCTATGACACTCACCAACTTCCATACATATAAATCAACTTCCTTTCTGTTGTGTGCTGGTAAATTTTTAATAACTGGCTTTTCTGGCAAACACCCTCATTTGTAGCATTACTGATTTTTGTGGTGAAAATCCTCCCAATATGGCCCATTTCAAGTTACCAACATGACATCATTGAAAGACAAGCAGGCTCCTGGATAGCACTGCTCGATGTACTCTTTCACAGTATTTTGTTCTCTTCCTCAATTGAAATTACATATTTATTTGCCTAGTTATTATTTAAATTGTGACTTTCCTAATAGAGTGCTGCATGAAATACGGGTTGTATCTGGTTTGTTCCTTATGACTTCCCAGGGGACACTGTAGTATCTAAATTGATTATTATTAGATTTGTACAACTTAATTATGCTCATGTAGAACCTGTACATAGACCAAGAGCCAGTCATTGAAACAGAACCAGGGGATACTACATGGCTTTAAATGAGGAAAAGTGGATATCAAGATTATATCCACTCATCATACTTATTCAATATATATGCTGAGCAAGTATTTCCAAGAAGCTGGATTATATGAAGAAGAGTGCAGCATCAGGATTAGAGGTTGCACATTAGCTCCCTGAAATATGCTTGAAGAGGACTTGAAGAATTTACTGATGAAGAACAAAGGATCCAACCTTCAGTATGGATTGCAACTTAATGTAAGGAAAACAATAATCCTCACAAATGGACCCATAAACAACTTCATGAAAAATGGAGAAAATATTGATGTGGTGTCAAGGATTTCATTTTACTAGGTCTGCAATCAACAATCATGGAAGTAGCAGTCAAGACATCAGATTATGTATTACATTGAGAAAACTTCTTTAAAGTGTTAAACATCAAAGTTGTCACTTTGAGGACTATTTTCAGTCAGCTGTTACGCATGTAAAAGCTGTAAAGGAAGACCAGGCAGGAACTGATACATTTGAATTATAGTGTTCGTGAAGAATATTGCATATGCCATGGACTTCCAGAAGAACAATCAAATCTGTCTTGGAATAAGCACAGACTAGACGCTGCCTAAATAGCTCTGGTAGCATAGTGTTTATGAATTGGGCTGCTAACCTCAAGGTCAGCAGTTTGAAACTACCAGCTGCTCTGTGTGAGAAAGATGAGGCTTTCTGCTCCCATAAAGATTTACAGCTTTGGAAATCCTGTGCAGGGTCACCATGAGTCAGAACCGATTCCATGGTGCTTAACAGCAACGACAACAAACACTGCCTAGATGGCAAGACTTCATGTACTTTGGACATGCTATCAGGATTGACCAGTCCCTGGAAAAGGATATCATGTTTGGTATAGTATCAGTGAAAAAGAGGAAGTCTCACAACAAGATGCATTGATACAGAGGCTTCAACAATGGACTCAGACCCAATAACAATTGTTAGAATGGTGCAGGACCAGAAAGTGTTTCGTTCTGTTGTACATAGGGTTGCTGAGAGTCAGAACCAACTTGGTAGCACCCAACACCACAAACAACAACAACAACTTTCCCCAGTGACCCTATGTTCATCAAAGTAGAACTGTGTTCCATAGGGTTCTCAATGGCTGATTCTTTGGAAGTAGATTGCCAGACCTTTCTTCTGAGGTATCTTTTGGTGGATTCAAACCTCTAATCTTCTGGTTAGTAGCTAAGTGCATGAATTGTTTCTACTATCCAGGGACTCTATTGGTTCATTGAATGTGACAAATTTATCATACTAATGTAAGATGTTATAAGGGTAATGTATGGTTGCCATGAGTTGCAGTTAACTCTGTGACAACTAGCTATAACTTTTCCTGAAGGACATGATATATTTTCTCTTGGCTTTGTGACTTTTACTTTAGCTTTGTTCAAAAATTACATTATTCTGAACAACATAATGCTTAATAGTTTCCAAAAATTTTGTATGAAAGGGAAGTAGTGAGTGTTTGTCTTTCTTTTGGTCACTCAAATTCTGTACTCTTTTTCCTTTGTTCAAGGAATTCACCTGCTCACAGGACAGACTGTACTTCCCACTCTAGAGGAAATACCAACTATTGCTTTACCAATCTCTTTCTCCTAAGGCAAATGATCTACCCTCTGACAATCAGATATCTCTGTCTTGGATTTAAATCTGAAGCTATCCTTCTTTTCTTGTAACACCTGTTTCTGGGAGTAGGAATCCTTTAGCTTTTGGCCCTTGGCTCAGTACACTGAGTATTGAATGGACAGGTGTTGTATGGCACACATTTCCTGCAGCTGGTGGGGTTTCTTGGAAGGTCTACTGCACAAGTTTTTTCATTTAGTCCAACTTAGATGATGAGGTCTGCTGCCACCCCTACTGCCACTGGCGATGTTGGAATCTTTTTAACATCACAGAGCTGCCCTGTTAAAGGCTCTACCTGACAGAACATAAGGGAGCATATTAATTAACAAGGAGTCTGGATTCCTAACAGACTATCAGCCCTGCATTTCCACAAATTCACAGTCTGGCTTGTATAAAGCAATACCATCTCTGAAGGGCTCAAAAAGATTTAATTATGCACTTTTGTTGTTGTTGTTGTTAAATAACAGATATCCAGATGTCCCTATGTGTGAAATCTTGTGACTGCTATTAGATTATTGGAGGTGCCAATTAAATGCAACCAATATTTATTGTGTATCTCCCATGTGCCAGGAAATACTCTAGAATTATGTGAGACACAGAGTTGAGCAGGACAGACACCATCCTTAACCTCAAATGTCAATACGTAAGTACAAGTGCAATGACTGTTTTGAAGGAAAAAAACAGGGGGCCATATTGCAAAAACATTTAACCTAGTTGAGGGGTCAGATAAGGTCTCCTGTCTTGGATTCTAAAGACTATTATCTGCTATGTACTCTAGTGCATGCTCTATTACCTCTCAGGGCCACAATTTCATGATCTGTAGTATATGAAAGCTTGTTGCTGATTGTCAAAAAATTATATGGTTTATGGCTTTTGGTAGGGCAATTGTTTTCAAATGATATTTTGTCAGCATATCCAAATGGCAGTATCATTTTCTTTGGACTAGGAACCCTGATGGGAGAGACTGAACCTTGCCAATCTTTGACTTCACTATGTCCAGCAAAGTGTACCTGGCAAGTAGCTGGCATACAAAGAATATTTCTTGAACATAGTATCACACTCAAGAAAAGAATCAAGTTCAACAATTGCCTCAGAACCATTTTTTTTTTTACAGGAAATTGTGGCAATTTCCTAGAATGCAATTAACTCCAATGTCCCTGTGACATTACTGTCTGTAGTTGAGAAGTGTTTTGAGATGGAAGGTCACAAGGTACGCTATATTGGGAATGACAAATTCAAGAGGAAAGGTGTTGTAGTCATCATCCAAAAAGAACATTTCAAGATCTACACAGAAGTACACTGCTGTCAGTGATAATATGGTATCCAAATACCTACAAAGGAGCTCTGGTAGCGTAGTGGTTACGAATCAGGCTGCAAACCTCAGGGTTAGCAGTTTGAAACTATCAGCTGTTCTGCAGGAGAAAGATGAGGCTTTCTGCTCCTGTAAAGATTTACAGCCTCGGAAACCCTGTACAGGGTCACTATGAGTCGGAACTGACTCCACGGCACATAACAACAACAACAATATACCTACAAGGAAGTCCTGGTGTAACACTGTAGGATAATGACTAGTCTGCTAACTAACCTCAAGATTGGTGGTTGAAACCCGCCAGCTACTCCCCAGACACTATAATAGGCTCACTATTAGTCAGAACCAATTTGAGGACACTTAACAACAACAGGAAGACCAGTTAGCATAATTATATTTCAAATTTCCACACCAACCATGAATGCCAAAGATGAGGTAATTGAAGATTTTGACCAACTTTGTAGTCTGAAATTGATCAACATATAATGAAGAGGCATTGATAATTACTGGTGAATT